CAGCCTGAAGCAACCTCTCCCCTGCTAGCAAGAGCATAATGGATCCCCCCCAAAATTTTCAGACTCCAATACAGACTTGACACTGGGGTTAGCAAGATAACAATAGCAGGCTGCTATCTTCCACTTGGGTAACACACTTGGGCACACATACCTCCAACTCCTGGAGGGAGAGATCTCCCAAGAGTCAGTGTCTTGGAGAAGGCACAGACTCTTTATATAAACCCAAAGGCAGTGTTAGAGGCAGCAGCAGGGTGATAGAGCAGCTCTGATGCACATTAGCAGAGCAGAGACAGACCCAACTGCCCACATACTTGTGCAGTACCTGGCTCCCGGCTCTTGTTCCACTTTGGCTCTCATTGTCATCCACTTCCACGAGCAAATACAGTGGCTGGGACTCCTTTGTTTCATTGAGGAAGCCTCCCGTGTCCACTTTGCGCTTGATGGTGGAGTTCCAGTGATTCTTCACAGCATTGTCAGTCCTACAGAGAAAGCAGAAGAAAATAAAAAGTTGTTATTATCAGCAGCCTTAAAGCACAGCTAACACCTGTGAGCTCCCCAGCTTCGTCCTGTGAGACCAACACATAAATCTCCATAAGCCACCCAGCTCCGACGGTACCAGTGAGCAAAGACACCCTACCTCCCAGGCAGCAGTTTGGCAATCTCAGCCCAGCGATTCCCCAGGACCTTGTGGGCCTCGAAAATGATGCGATCCTCCTCCTCTGTCCACGAGGATTTCTTCACCTCAGGGTTCAGGTGGTTATGCCAGCGTTCCCGGCACTGCTTTCCTAAGCGTCCTTTCAGGTGCTTGGCTATCAGAGTCCATTGTTTGGTGCCATATTTTTTAACCAGTTCTATTACCTTTGAAGAAAATAGGAAGGAAATAAGGAAATGGAGCAAAGGAGAAGGTCAGCACAGGCATTGCTTTGCATTTCACCTGTGTTGGAACCAGGTACAGGCAGACAGAGAAGGATCCATTAAGGCAAAAAAGCTGGAGGGATGCAGCACTGACAAATGACAATGTCATTGACAAGTGAAAAGCGTTTCTGTGAGCAACAATTCAACCAATTGCCTGGAAGAAGCAGTTTTCATGCAGAAATTTTGCCACTTGACACCTATGGATGCAGATGATGGCTCACAGAGGGCTGGGACAGAGATGGGCAGGTGCAGCGAGGAACAAGTCAGAGCAAAGCATCAAGTCTCATGTGCTCCAAGACTCCTCTGCTTTCCTCTTTCCCAAGAACCTGGCTGCATGGACCGAGTTCCCACTGTGCCTACAATCCTCTGCCTGCTGGAACAGCATGGCACAGCCTTCCTTTAACAGAGGGTCCAACTCCCTGGAGAAGACACAAATTTCAGATCCATGCCCCGCTAAGGTCAGAACACGTGGTGCAAGCACTAAAGCAGAAATGAGCAAAATTCACTTAAAAGCCATCTGCTTTGCAATTTCCTCTTCACCAAGGGATTTGACACACCTGCCTGAAACCCAGTGCAAATGCTTCCAGGTAAGGAATCTTTTTTGATTGGCCTGAAATACATCCATGCAACATAGCAATGTAACATAACATGCTGCCTGCAGCATTTAGCCTGCCAAAATCTCAGAGATGGGCCAGATGACTCCAAAAGACTATTTTCACTCTGTCCAGCAGTGCTTAGCTGAAAGGAGCAGGTAGCAGGTGCAGATCCTGCTCACAGGGCTCTTGATCTATAGCTAACATTCCAACTACTGACTGACTGCCTAGGGCAGAAAAACGGGCCACAGATATCCATGTCCAGGGACCTGGATAGTTTGCAGCACAAAGCTATCCACGCTGGAGCCTGGCTTGGCTATGATGGCAATGGGCATCAGGACTAGGTTGGCTGGCCATCAGGACATAAAATGACAAGGGGAAAATAGGCAGCAACTGTTCTGTTGTAGGAAGGTAGGGAATTGTTATAAGCCTCCTCAGGAAGTGTTTGACATAACACAGATGGAAAGCCCAGAAGGCAGAAGGAATTACAATGGGTGCAAAATGGAAAGAAATAGGTGAGCAGGGATGTTACAGGGAATCTGACAAACTAAGAAATTTCACAGCAGAACACACATGACTAGGAATTAATTTCAACTCTTCTTAAGGATGTCTGAGCTGCTTGCTGTCAGCTCACTCTGGAACCAGCAGAGTCTTGGAACTCACAGCTCATCTGTCAATCCACCACAGCACAGAAAAAGCCAGATTTATTTTTGGTTAGGTTCATCATGGCCAGGTCAGACAGAGAACCGCAGGCAGATGGATGAATTAATTCCCATTTCTGCTCTCTTCCTTGCTAGCTTACAGCACTGTCAGCAGTACAGTGTGAAAGAGTGTTCAGCTGAAGATGCCTAGGCCTGCTTCTGCTTGTCATGACCATGGCTGCATTAGGCTGCTCAGAACAGGTCAAGAGTGGAGCTTTTGTGAGTACCCACAACTGGAAAGAACTACCTACAGTCTGTAAGACCAGAGAGTCTGACACCTCCACTTTGACAGAGGGTCACAGCCCAATGCTCAGATCCTGTCCTTGCCTGACTTACCTTTTGGTCCTCCTCTTTGGTCCAAGGGCCCTTAACCAAGTCTGGATTCAACACCCTCAGCCAACGGTACTGACACTGCTGGTCACTACGGTTCTGTGGAAAGGAATCAGAGCAGACATACATTAGACTGGAGGCTCCAAAAGCCCCTGTAGAAACACAGCAGTCCTCACACACACAGTCTGCCCATGGAAAAACTACACAGAGAATGCATACTATGGCTATAGTAGAGGGTATTGGGTATAGAATACAGGGACAGGAACTTCAGTGTCTCACTCCAGCTCCCAACAAACTCATACATGAACTCCTCTAAGCAAGAAGGATGTGTCACCCTGCCCTAGAGAGCACTAAATTTGTTCAACAGTAGCAGCTACAGAACAAAGTCCCACCATACAAGGTGTTGCATAGAGACAGTAAGCAACCTGAGCACGAGAATCAGCATGCAAACACTACAATTCCCAACCAGGCAAAGGGGCACTTACAGGAAAGTGACTGGCCAGGAACTTCCAGTCATTCTGCCCATAATGTCTTACTAACATCTTCAGCTGCTCATCCTGCAAAGAACAAAGACATCCACTGAGCAAAATGTGCCACAATTACCCCAGGGCTAACAACATCAAGAGAACAATCTAGATACTTTTTTAACTGTTAATCTTTTTATATCTGCATTACAGGGAAGAGGGTATATGAGTCCTTCAACAGTGCCCCACTGCACAGAGGCCAGCTAGAACACTTTTGACTCAGAGCTCTGTACTAGGGCAAGTTCCTGGTGTGTGCATGATGAGAGCAGAGTACAAAACAAACTTAGTTGCTGTGATCACATTCAGGCTCACGCTGAGCTCTGTTCCAAAGTAGTTTGGTTCAAACTACATAGCCAGAGCTACCTGCTTATCCAGCCCCAGTATGCCTCTCACCAGGCAGCTCATCTCCCAGCTCACATAGTGCCTTCACCTGGCCAAAGAAACAGACTGTTCTAAGTACACTGCTACTAACCAGGCAGTCTGCTGCCTTTTTACACTGACAGCTCTACAGCACTTCTCTCACAAGCCCTGCACACAGGTTTTCCTGCTCTTACACCTTGCACAAAGCCTGCTATGGGCTTCCTTGCCTGTGGGCAAGGAAATGAAACACCTTGTGGATGGGCAAACAAAGGTAAGAAATAATTCATTGCCCAACATAAGCCCGAGATTTTGATCTCTGCACAAAGGCCACTCTTACTCCACATTCAGAGCCCAAGGGAAATGAAACGCTTTGTAGCTTTCACAGAATAAGAAAAAAGGACTTTGGAGGGAATAGAACTAGGGCAGAAAACATGCCAGCTCATTTCAGACTCTTTGCCACAGTCCTAATGGCCCCAACAGTGTCCAATTTGACTACAGAAGAGGGCATCTGCACTGCATGAACCAGCTCCAGACCTCCGCCACCCTCTAGCACCTGCTGCAGGCAGCTGACACCTTGCTGTCAGCCCAGATGCTGAAGTGGTCAGAGCTCTTCACTCCCCAGGCTTCAAACTCGCCTGACCTTCCTCCCATCAAGGCCTCAGAAAAACAGACAAAGGGCCTTTCCCAGCAATAAGACACCATGAGTGGGTGTTGTGGCAGCAGGCGAGGAGCAGGATGAGCTGCTCACCCTAAAGACCTACCAAACTCCACCCACAGCCCTATCAGCAGCGTGCACCCTGCCATCACTCACCTCCTCCTGCGTCCACTTGACCTTGCACCTGCCATCCCGCTGCTCGGGCACATCCGAGTCAGTGTCCTGGCAGTGCAGCTCATCCTGGTCCTCACTGCAGAGCAACAGACAGAGCGTTATCCCATTCCCTCTAGGAAAAGCAGAGGGAGCTGCCCCCCCGACCAACACACACACGCAGACCCTCCCTCAGCCTCCCCGCAGCCCTTCAGCTCCAGGACCCACTGCGCGTTTGCCAGTCTCACAGTGACACTGAGAATGGACGCTCCTTCGGTTCCAGCCCATCAGCGCGGGCTCCGTGAACCCAGCCCCGCTCCATCCTCCTCCATCCAGCTCCCCAGCGTCCTCCCTTACTGCATTGGCACAGCGGGCCAGGGGCCGGACAGCTGTGAGCCGCCGGGCCCAGCCCGAGGGCAGAGCGAAGAGGCGGGCGGCGGGACGGCAGCTCTGGGCCGGGCTCCGCCACCCCATCCACACCTCTCGGGGACACCGAGAGCGAGACCGCGAGACCCCATGAGCCACAAGCACCCCCCACCATCCCCAGCGAGAAGCCGTCGGGCCGTCCCCGCGCCGGGGAGCCACTCACCCGCGGCTGCGGCGCGCCATGGCGGCGGGGCCGGGCGGCGGCGGCGGCAGTTTCCTATCTCGCGCCAACGGTTGCCCCCCCTCGCGCGGGGCCGGGCCGCGCATGCGCACAGCGCCGGCGCCCGCACAAAGAGGCGCGCGCGGGAGGGCGACCTGACGCCTGTGCCCCGCCCGAGCCGAGGGTGAACCCGCAGCGCAGCGGGCCGCGGCTCAGCTAACGGAACGAACGGAACTAACGGGAACTAACGCGCGGCGTTCCCGAATGAACTGAACGAGGGAACCACTCGTTAATTAATCTGCCGGCACTATAAAAGCACTTTAAGCAGGGGTGAAGGAAGGGCTGCGATCCTGAAAGACACCTATAGGCATTGAAGGCAAGTAGTGCTCTTCTTATTTCCCAGATATTGCTCCATTTAGAATCTCAGAATGGCCAGGGTTGGAAGGGACCTCAAAGATCGTGAATCTCCAACCCCCAGGTGCTACTTAAAGATTTATTTAAGCAGCGTCTGGGCCTCTTTGAGTGTTTCCCTTTGGGATGATCACATAACTGTCCTGAGTAAACCCGTGTGCTCTCTGCTTTTGCTCTTAAAGGGCTCTGTGATGAGATTTCTGATGCTGTGTGTCCCCAGGTCATCCTGGCATAGCTGTGTCTGTAAGGCCTCTGTGCTGCACATACTGGGATGCAGCCTGGCTCCACCTGGGATAAATGCTCTCCTGACCTCAGGAAGGGGAATAAAGCCTCTCTGATGGCCACCCCAGGTGTCCCCTGCAGCAGGGATGCTTTAAGACTCCTCGCACCCAGGAGAACAAAGCTAATAGCACTACGCAGATCGAGTGAGCACAAACCTAGGGATGCTACCTTGTCCCCCTGCCTAACAAGGGGTCTGAAAAGTCATTTCCTGGTGCTGCAGTGCAGGTCCTGTGCCCCATTAGGAGATAGGGCAGGAAGGTGCCCTGCCTGGGTCTGAGGGGCTGCTAGTGGGGATAGCCTTTAAACTGTGTGCTCCAACAGGGACTCCTGGCTCCTCCAGCCTTGTGCCATGCTGTCCTCCCAGCAGCACAGCATCCTGACCATTAAGGACCTCCTGGACAACGGATTTGTGACGGGGGCCTCTGTGCACACCCACTTCTCTCCTGTGTGCAGTTACTACCTGAACTCCAGTAGTGCCCCAAAGCAGAGTGCCTGGGAGCTGCTGGCAGATGCGGAAACCATGAGGGGCAGCCCTGTGTGTATGGTGGCACAACCCATGGACAGCGGAGTGAGGGCCGGCCTGAGCTCCTCAGACCTCAGCTTCCTCTCCTTCTGCAGGAGCCCCTTCGGCCCTGCTGTATTCGACCTGCCAGCTGTGCCTTGTGAGCTGCCTGCTGGGCCTGGATGCTTGCTGGATGTGACATTGAGGAACACCTCCACACCATGCAAGGCTAGGAGGAGCCTCCAGGAGAGAGCACTGTCCCATAGCACCGAGCTGCTGAGTGACCTGCTGTCCCCTGGCAAGCCCCCAGCAGCCAGGTGGGAGATCTCAGAAATAAAGCCTCCCCTGGACACCAGCCTGCCCCTCGATATGAGCTTCCTGGGCTGCTCCAAGCCAGACATATCACCGCTGGGCACCCCTGTAGTGCTCCCTGTGTCCTGGCCCAGGAGACACGTGGCTCTGTCCCATGAGGCCCAGCTGGGCGATACAGAGCTGGGCTCTGTGCTCCTGCGCCAGGCCCCGTGATGCCTCAGCCCTGGCAGTGGTCACAGCTGCACGGTGTGGGGTAACGGTGAGGTTTTTCTCCTCAGCGGGATGTGACTGTGGTGGGAAGCTGACGGCAGAGCCCCATGCTCTGCAGCCCACAGCCTCCAGCCCAGCTCCCCGCTCCTAACCTACTGCTGTCTTTTGTATTAAGCTAATAAAGCTTTCAACTTCCCCCTCTGCGCCTTTCCGCAGGCCGGGCCACGCTCAGCGCCCTCCAACCCCCTGGGCTCGTTCTGACTGACGGAGTGTGAAGGCCCTCGGCCGGCCCCGCGCCACCCCGCCCCAACATGGCCGGCCCGGCCCCGCTCCCGGCCGCGCTGCTGCCCGTCCCGCGCCGTTACCTGCCCCGCGGCCCCGGCGGCCGTGCGAGAAGAAAAGCCGCATCCTGCCCTCCCCGGCTCTGCTATGCGGGAGCCGGGCGGCTGCCTGGCCCGCGGGTATCTGCGGGGCTGGGGCTCGGGATCCCTCTTCTGGCACGTGGGGAGAAGCACAGGCAGAGCGCGGGGCTGCAGGGGCTGCCAGCTGTGAGCTGTTTGAGATTTTCTTGCTGTTCGAACTTAAGTTTGTACTTCAGCTTTGAGCCTGGCAGAGCGCTCCCACCGCACTCCTATAGCTGCTGGAGCTGCTCTTCCTACCTCGCTCTTCCACTCTTCTTTGTCTCTGAAGTTGCTTGCTAACGCCAGCTTTCAGGGCATCTACAGGTTACAGAAGAAACACTATTGCTTCTCTCCTTTCAGGGATGAAAGGAGAAGTGGTAAAATACTACATGAGAGTAAAAGGGGAAAGTAACTTGTATCCAATTTTGTCAACAGCAGCAACTGTTAAGCCCAGTTACCTTTGCTGGGTGCCTTCATTTCTGATGGCTAGCTTCACTTACTGAAAGCCTTCATTGCATCAAACTCCTTCCAGTTTCTGTCAATCAGCTTACATGTATTTTATTTCCTTGCCCAAAGCAGTATTTCTGTTCATGGGAAGCGTTTAAACTGTTATTCTAAGGGCCAAAGGGAAGTTTTGAAAGACAGAGTGCAGCTATTGCCTCTGCACACAGTTCGTAGCACACATTCTGGCCAAAACAACCTCCATTCAGTGGGGGGGGGGGGGGAAGAAAAAAGCTGTTCTTCAGCTGTCAGCATGGCACAAGAGACAAACAGCAAACAGCGAGCTGCTTGTATTCTTTAGCTGCTCAGATGACTTCTTTCTAAAAATGTTACAACATCAGGAACAGGTGACAAAAACAACTCTGAAAAGGGGCACAGAGGGAGAGTGTATTTACAGTTTGCAGTCCAAACACCAAAAGAACAGCACAAACCACGTCTATAATTAGCAAGAAGATCACACAGTTGTTTGGTTCAGCTGTAGTTGGTGCCAGTTGACTGATTGGTATTGATACTGTGGGGGAAAGATAAGGCTTATTATGTAAATCCAGAGCTGGAACATACAAAGTGCTTCTGTGAGTGAAAATAACAACCATATTATTAAAGAAAAATCATTGAAAGAGGAAAAAATGAAAATCCTGAAACATGCTATGATAAAGGATTGTCCATAACACATACAGATGCAAAACATACAGTATAATCCCTTCTGCCAGTATTACGTTGGCACATCTAAGCTGGTTAGTAGCCTGCTAGGTGCAATGGGAAACCAGCTTTAGGAAAGCATCCAAAACATGAAACAGTGTAAAATGATTGGTTTTGTGTTGTTTTTGTGGGTTTGGTTTTTTTTTCCTTGGAGGGGAGGAGGATAAGACAAACCTTTTGGAAAAGCAGCAGCTTTTACATTAAAAAACATGGCAGATAAAGATAAGGCACAAGTGCACAAAGGCCTTACAAAGTGCTCGAGTGGGGCAAAAATCAAGTTTTACAGTCGGGGTGTCTGATGAAATACAAAACTCTGCAAATATCAAAGGGCAACCTCAGAGAGTTGTTAAAAATCTCCAGCAACACTGACACACAGTGTTAATGACAGTGACAGATCTGTTCCTCTCACTGCTTATACCCTTGGCTATATTGTCACCATGCACTGAGCTTCAGTATCTCACGGATGATGGATTCCATGTGAGTTTCCATTCCTGTGCAATACCTGGTTTAATGTCTCCCCGAGTTTCCTGCACAGTATCAGCCTTTCCTAATAGAGATCCATTAAATCTTAACTTTTTAATCCCAACACCATTCGCGATGTCCTTCCAACCTTGAACAAGGCAGCAGTCTGTAGCATCATCACTGTCTGATTTCAACTCTTCCCCTCCCTGGAAAGAAACCTTCTGCTCCTACAGTTACAAACCTACCTCGCCTTGGTTCATTTTTGCAGAGATCCAAAAGGAGACTGCCTTGGGGGGCTACAGTAATATATTTTCAGCATCTCCTACATTTACTGCTGTATTTTCTTTTTCCAGTTCACCAACCAGAGCAATGATCTTTCTCACAGTGCAGTTAAGGACTACATGTATGCCAAAAGGGCCCACAGTAAAACTTAGTAGAAGAAAATAAATACCAGAGCAAGAAATGACCAAACTTAGATTTTCTTAGCATAAGATTTATTTATATATATATACATAAATATAACAAAATTGCAGTTTCAATAAAGAAGTAGAAAAACAGGAAATAACCTGGAAAATACAAACATTTCCTCAAAAGGCATTAGTTATCCCAACTACTACATGTAAGCGATGCGTACATTCAGTGAAATACTCAGACAGTCTCAATCAATGTACTGAACACAGAGGTTGAAGAAAATTGCTAAGTATATTTTTAACAGATCTTCTCCATCCGGGGAAAGCCAGGTCTCAGTTACCATTCTGGGCTTCACTTGCATCCGTATCACGTTCCTTAGGGAAGAGGAAAGGAGGGACAAAATCAGAACAAAACATTTCATTGTACAGATTATATCCTATCGTTTGTAGAACTAGTGTCAGATTTGGACCTTAACTGAGCTATTTGAGACACTTGTTAGTAAAAACAGCTGGTCTGCCTGTAAGCATAAAGTACTTCTTCACTGCCAATTTGAACACAGTACTCCTTGTAAGTAACAATGCAGGTTTCACATCTACATTGTTGCACTAGCAAGCATAGGAGCACCCATGAGGGCACGCTGCTTCTACATGTTGTGCATGTCAATGACTGGAATTACTCAAACTACACCATCAGTACCCCCCAATTAAAATAAATGGGAGACTTAGTAAACCGAGCACTACGCAATCTATACCACTGTAAGTATTCTGTATCAAACACCAGGCGCCGACTTTATTGTCCACCAAGTGCCTTTACGCACTGCTGTATCTCCTCCCTGTGACAAGAGCAGCTGCTACAAGGATGTATCATCCTAGTGCTGGCAGTATCAACAATTCACTTGTAACTCTGCTATTAAAAATACCTGATTCCGTTTCTTAAATTCAACCACTTGGAAGAAGACGTACTCCAGAATATGTTTGGCATCCTGCTTATCCTCTGGGAGCTTACTTGTTACTCCTAGGATATCCCCACACTTTCGTATATAAAACTCCAGGTCATCATCAGTACCTAAACAAGCATCGCAAGCAAAGAGGCAGCTGAGCATCACACATCTGGACCAGCAGGGCAAAAACATACTGCCAGTCTCCATTCATTTCTGGGGATACAAATAGGTTCACAGAACTAGTCATCACATATTCCTGCAGCCAGTACGTTCTCATCTGGTCAGTACCAGACACTGAACTGCTGACTTCAAAAACCAGTCCCCAGAAGAATAGAAAGGGAGGCCAGCAAGTCTCTAAAATAACAGCAGGCTTACAAATCAAAGCCCGTTTGGAAGAGGAAAAGACAGGGATAGGAAGAGGAAGATGTGCTGCTGCTAACCGATGTGTCGAGCTGTAAGTCATGAACCAGCTTCCAACACTCAAAGCATACTTGGCCCAGGATTACAAAAGTGCATTTCCATAAATCATGACCAGGTCCAACACCTATTTTCTTACAAAAACTTGCATAGACACGTGTGAAAAATCAGTCTGCTCTGCTTACATTTGTTTGTAATCTCTGCAAGACGAGCTTGCTCAGAGGAAAATATTTCATCCAAGTCAAACAGCTCCAGAGGAGGAGGAGGCAAATCTCTGAAAATAGGTGGAAAAACCTGGAAGAGAATTGAGAGAGCATGTTTTATTGACAATTATTTTCCTTATACTTCAAAAATCTCCAAGGCAACAGTTTTAGACTGCACTTCAGTAAACCTTTTATTAAATCAGAAGCAACTCCAAAGCCCAGAGTACAAACCTACATCCTTTTAAAAATCTCACGTGTGGTTTGCAAAAATAACTCAATATTTCAAGAGTTTAGTCTCCAGAATGCCAGAATTATCTCCTAGAACAACTACAGATGCTATATTTGCAGTTTGTTCTTACTTTTGTTCCAAGACATCCAGGTGATTCCATTTAGTACTGAGATAGTCGAGGTACTAAACAGACCATCACAACTCGCCCTGAAGCATTTCTGTGCTCATTTGGATGAGGGTATTTTCTTTCTCATGCAGTCACCACGTGTGCCACAACTGGGACTCTGCACTGAACAGGGCCGACAAGTGCTTAAAAGAGCACTCTATTTCTAAATGAACCTGTTTTTAAAGAGCACTGCAGGAGATATTACTTCCAGTTGACCCCTGAAACCAGCTGTAAGTTATCACAGGAACATTTCTTCAGTGGTCAAACCAAAGCACAAGCCACAGTGGCAGAGCTCAGATATAACACTAAGTGTGACACCACTGAAGCTCACGGTGTTGGTGCCAGTCCAAATCTCTGCAAGTAAAAGTTTGGCCAGCCCTTGCTGTAGAAGACCAACACTTGATTTTCTTCTTCCCCCGAAAATGCAGAAGCTCAGAGAACAGTGGAACTGACTGGCTCCCCCCCAGCACTACAATTCTATTGATCACAACACCACTATTTTCTGAAACACCACTTTCTGTTTTCACAGTGAAAGCAAAAACCCAAAGCCCTACAGGGCCAGGAGCAGCTACACAAGTGATTATACATGCAAGGCATTCGTAGAGATTTAGAGAGTTTCTGTACCATACCAGATGCCACACTTTCAAGTTCTGCTGACTAAAACCATAAGTGTAAAAAAGCTACTTCTTAAGAGTCAAATATGTGGCAAGATCAGTATTCCTCTCCCT